AGTCTCCGACGAATGATTGGTTACATAAAATTTGATTCACCTCATCGCCTTTTTTCATCCCTCGTTCAATACCTCGATACGTCGCGAAAAGGAGTACATATTGCGAAATTTTTGGAAACATCGTATTGTGTAGTCCAATAATCATATCTATTATATATTGACGTATATTACACATTCCATAACAATTCTTCCCAGAATCAAAATATAAAATATTATTAATACTCTCTCTCTCATATGTAAAGACATACAGGAGAGAGAGAGAGAGAGAGAGAGAGAGAGAGAGAGAGAGAGAGAGAGAGATGTAATTTCATTTTCTTCATGTTTACACGTTCCCATAAACCTATAATTGTTAAATCAAATTTCAATGAAAATTTCACAAGACATGCATAAACATATGTACCGATATGCAACCCGTCATCACTGTGCGCAAGGACGTTGTGTAAGTCCGAGAACTGTAATTTGGAAACCATCTCACATACCTATACGCTAGCTCATCTTTATCATTAGTCAAGACTCGCTTAACATGCAGAACGATCGTGACGAGGGACATTATCGTGCGGGAATAATCAGGTACTATCGGGATGGAAAGCGGAAATGGTATAAACTCATGGAAACTGAAGATGCCCGAGGGGTGAGAACAGCGGAAGGACGAGGGGAGAGGGGATTGGAGGTAATAGTTCAACGCAGCTGTATCAGGACAAACTGTTACGAGCAGGTGGACATATATGCATCTAAGCCACATCGTGAACGAAAAGAGGAGGAAAATGAAGTTGTTGCCTCCTACACGGGAATTCGCTTTGAAATTTCCACTGACCGGAAAACTATGCATTTGGAATTACCAATGCGTAAAGGAAATGTTTGATAGAAAACAATTGCTTGCGTAGGAATTTTTTACACAACAAAATTAGAAAAAGTTATGGTAACGATTAAATACTCGCTTCATAAATTATCGTATTTATCAGTGCATTTTATTCAATTATTTTCAACGATTGCATTATTAGTGCAAACTATAGCCTGACCTTAAAACGCCTAATTACGAGGTAATCTTGAAATTGCTAGTTGGTTTTATTTAATAGCTTCGCTTATCAAAAATTAAAGCGGAAGCACTTTAGCAATTATCTGGAAGGATAGTTGGAAATGAATTTTTTAATTCAGATTCACCTATACGATTTTAAATTTAATTTGCGAAAATTCCCACTGCAGATTCTACAATACTTGTGAGGTTAAACGGATCCGCCGTTATTGCGTATTGCGAGATCTGCGATCCCGATTTTGATCGCGTTCGAAACACGATCGTCGGAATCACAGTCCTGTCCTTTGCAGTGAGAAAAAAACGAGGGGAATTCGTAGAATATATATTTCAATCTAGAACGCCGACCGGCCAGCCAGAGATTTAATTAAAGATGCATTGCGCTTCGTTTCTAAAGTTGAATGAAGCTCAGCGGCGCCAACTTGGATCTTTCTCCCTCTCTCTCTCTCTCTCTCTCTCCTGCCCTTGATTACATTCTATCGCGCAAAGTATCTACATTTTATTTTTCTCACGGAGTGTATATATATCGCGTGGCTGCGATGTCAATTAAACTTTTTCTATCTTTATTTTTGCCCTTCGAATATATCGCCATGAATCCGGCCGATGAATCCGTACGCGGGGCACGAACTTTGTTTTTATCTCGCGAGGTTACGCTCTCTACTTTTCCGCGAATTAATTGCGATCGACTGACCAGCAGTTATTTCCGAGATTATACAGCAATGAACTTTCAAAAGCGCGCGCGCCCTTGCTGTGTATTGAGAAAATCTAGCCGTACCGTTATCGTTCTCCTTTATCGTTGCCCGTTCGATCGCTCCACGTGTTTTCGTTTCCACTTAGATTAATTAAACGTTCGGTATTAATTAAATGCTGCTCGAATAAATATGCAGCAGCTGGAAATGGCCGCGCGATCCCATTGTTCGCGTAGCGTTTTTCACGCGAATGCACTTACGATTAATCCTAAAGGGCATGCAATCGCGCCGGACGCATTGCCAGTTATGCATAATAATCGAACAATTTGCATGAATTTCTTTAACACTTCTGTACAACATTTCGCGGTGATTTTAATGACGAAAAATACCAGCCACTCCGCATCTCATTGACATAAAATATAATGTAATCTGCAGTATCATCTACGTACATGTACCCATGTATATAGGTAATATACATCAATGAGAGAGAAGAAAGATGTAATAATGCTTCCTTCAATCAGTAATATATATATATATGTAAATGTAAATTAAACAAATAACATATCGTATTCGAATTTATTCCATATTCGATCGCTTTTATTTTCCCGTCATGAGAGAGCAATGTATACTCGTATGCGAGCATCAACCTCGGGTGGGTCATGAACGTGCTGGCGTCGAGAGGCAAAGTTCCAGCATGTCGGTCGTTAGAATTGTTTCACGACTTCTTTACGATCCTACCAGGGGCCATTCTAATTTTTCACCGGCATACACGTCGCACAAACGTCTTTATCTGAACGTTACGTTTCACATGTACGCGTATTCATAGTCATACGAGGAATATCCGGAAACGAGAGGATTTTCAACTCAATCCTTTCGTTATACTTTTAAATTTCAATAACTGTTACTATTATCGGAAACAAATTACAAGCAAACGTGTATAAGTGTGCGCAAATAATAAAATATGGATCTTCAAAATAAAAAAGATATCAAATGAAAATAATTGAAAATAATATAAGTAATGTATGTTAATTCTGACAGTCATAAAAGAGAGGAAGATAAGATAAGAGGAATTAAAAAATGAAATCAATTAAAATCGAGTGTTTCGTCCCTACTAATTTGTTTCGTCTGTATTTCTTATTTGACCAATTATTTAATAAAATTCATTAATAAGAGGTTAAATAATTAATATTTTAAAATAAATTAAAATAAAAGTAACAGAGCAGAAGTTTAGACGCGCCTAACGTGAAATGTGAAGGTAATTTTTTGCCTCCTCGAACGTTTCATCGCGGGCGATAAATTCAAACGAAATGCAACATGCGTATAACGACATGTAAATATAATATCACACATATGGTATCCCCTGTATATTCAACAAAACGCAAGTTGTATCGATACATAGATTTGGAAATATCTAATCTAGCTTCGAAAACATTATCGATTACGAGAATTGCTGACTTTCGTAATACATTTGCTATCAAAGCATAGCCACATTCCGCCGCGAGTTCCATAAATTCGATCGAAGCTTCCCGTCATGTTCGTTCAATCGCTATATTAAAGCCAAAGGCATGTATTGTGCACTCAATCTTTGTACACGCGATCCCATATTTACGACGCGTTATTAAACAGAAATAAAAAATTCCAATGTACTGTTCCAAAATTCCAAAATTTCCTAACTACATTTTTGAAAGTAATTGTAATATCATTTATTATTATATTTGAAAATCCCTTACTTAAATATTAGATATCTTGTTACATCTAATTGACATTTCTCAAGCTATGCTGAACGAATTCATGAGCGCATAGCAATGTATAATTTGCTTTTAAATAATCACTAGATATTTTACAACAGCAATAGCGAAGCTATTTAGAAAGAATTTATTAAAATTATGTTACACGTTATATTAGATATTCATTAAAATATTTATATCTATACGCCTATTTACATTCTAAACCAATTACATATATTTTTTATGCTGTTATTATCATATAATATGATCATTCAAAATTGAAATTATATGTAATTTGCGTCTTTTTTCTGTGAAAATTCTCACAGAAATGTCCCCCGTAAACGCTGTCCCACAATTTCAGAAAAAAAAAGCATGAGAAACGTCGGTTTAATCGTCGCGTGCGTGCAAGTGATCGCGTGAAAGCACTCGAAGCAAATCCACCTTCGGACGACAAACTCGGAAAGTCATAGACTCCGAAAAAGAAAAATAGAGGAAGAGAATCGTTGAAGCTCTTTACGGATACGTCTCTCTTGAATTTTTTTTCTTTTTTTTTTTACGCGGATTTGCGTGAAGCGGACTTGTGTGACGCGGCTCTCCAACGGCTGTCTGTCCATCTTGTTCAAGGATCACGTGGATCTCCATCTCCCGAGTTCGAGGGCGTCCCCTTCGAAAGGTTGACGCGGAAAGGTTGACGGAATGTTAACCTATATTACATTCGCGAGCGAATCACTTTTGACATCTGGACGATAACGCGTTATGTCGCGACCCACATAAACAGGTGCGCTTTGCACACCGCGACGTTGTACAGGGACTTGAGAGCACGTCACAAAGGTTAAAATAACGTGGACGTAGATTACGCTTTGACTATCGTCTTTCATCATAGATTCACTCGATCGATCGAAATAACCCTACGTTATCTATTATAAATCGAGCATCGTGTCAATGCCCAGTGAACGTTAAGTAACAAGAATATGATACTTGTATCAATGTTATGATTTCACACTCAACAATATAATGTAAAACATATGTTTATATCGTTGTTATGTCATTATTGGTTGATGCTTTTACCGTGTACTTTCGAAATTATAAAACTTACATAACGCGTGATCGGGAACCAATTTTTGATAATTATTTGCGTGATAATTCTATCGAAAGGTCCTTTAATTAGAAAACATACATACAATCAATAAGTTGTGCTTTGAAATAATTTTTAGCAAGAATGATACTCCGTTCGAACAAAATCAGAGTAAAATTGTAAAATAAATCGCGTTTTTTTTTTTAAAGCTAATAGATTTTCACGATGAGGGACACGTTTTAAAGATACCAACTTCAAGCCGGAGCCAACTTCAAGTCGGAGCAGCTCCGATGCGTACGGTACAAGACATGACATATGACGTCAATGGAAATCTCTCTGCTACGGTCAATAAATTTGACAAATATGAAAGAAAGCTCGTTAAAAGGTCGCCCCTTCAAATTATCTCCGACAGATGGGTATCTCGAGTGTGTCCCGAGAGATAGAAATAACAGAATGAAGGTGTGCGTTTCTCAACTCACCGATGCGATGCCGCCGTGAAAATCGCCGCTGGGAAGACGTATCAAACAAATTGCGACGTGATCCTATCTCTCGCTGCCGCGTTCATTATTCATCATCAATCACACACTGGGCACACTGGGGACACTTGTGGATCGCGCACAAAACGGACAGAGCACTAACAACGCGATGGGATAACCCGAATGAGTGGCGTTTCGAGTGCGACGGCGACGGCGACCGCGGGCGGTTGACAGTTCGCGTCGTTGAGAATCGAGATGCGTAAGAAACGCCAAATCAAGCCAACGTCACGACGCTCGTACGACGAGCGACCGGCTCCGACTAGTTCGACTGTCGTCTGTCGTGGTAGGTACTAGGTAGGCCACCCGCTGTTATCAAAGCCGACAGGCAAGCTCGGCCTTCTCCGACCACCTTCGCTTATGCGTACGCGACACCACCACACCGCCATTGCTAGTATTGCCACTGCCAACCGCCCCGGCGCCCCCGTCGCCCCCGCCAGCCGCGCTCGCGCTCGTTCATCGGTTGGTCCTTCGACCGACGCGCGTCGAACGTTCCCGAGCGCGACCGAGTTTTGACGAAGCGGCTACGGCGGGCGCGAACAACGAATTCAACGTCTCAACGAATTTCTCTTCCGATAAACGGAAAAGATCGTATTCTCTCGGTACTCTTGACGTCGGGGAATTTCGGACTCGAATCGATTCGATCCAATGCGACAAGTATCGCCAGACGGAATATCATCTACGTCATTTTAAAATCAGAAATCGACATTTTTCATGGTACACGGACGATGCTCACCACGCCGTGCAGAATGGATTTGAATTATAAATACGACTTCTATGTAGAAATATCCATCGTTCGATTTCAAACTCTATGCTAATCCAATGTAAAGAAAGGTATAAATTTTATTTTTTCGCAATAATTTCCAGAT